TTATTATATTTTACCATGACATTTAAAAGATTCTTAGTATCAATTATCCACCATTTCCTATTTATACCGTATATAATAACATTTATCAATATAAGTATAAAATTAAATGTATTCGTATTTCATATTAATATAATAGAACGTCTTCATTCAGAATAGAATTTCATATGCAACAGTTTATCACGAATTTAAATTTAATACATTTATTTTAGTGACTTTTTCAATGATAGAAGTTGCTCCAAGAGGGGACTAGGGGCTACGCCCTTTAAGCTCGTATTTTTAAAATTTATAATTTATATATCATTAAAATTAAAATAATAAAACAAAAAAACATATTATACCATCAACTTATAGCAAGTACAAGTGTGTAGTTAAAGATATGTACTTTTCACCTATACTTTGAAGTAAAAATAAACTATAAATTATAATAATATAAAATATACTATGGTATGATATTATGATGAATATTATGACTTAGCCTCCCCTATCAAGTCTTTTGAGCTACCCCTATTTAATGCACATTTGATACCTACAAGCTGTACAGTAGAACTGTTAGTTGTTACCTACTTGCCCACTTTTAATTATAACTTATAACTTATTAATTACAATAGATAATATTAATAATAATTGATTTGCTCGCTGGACATTAAAAAGTTATTTAAAATACCAAATCACGATGACACCAACATTTATATATTTTTCATATTAAATATCTTCTAATTTACACATTTTATATAATATACAACATGTTAATCTTCGTTTTCAACTTTTTTATTGCGGAAAATTATCGTTTACATAATATTATATTACGTAGGTATTTATACTTGTAATGGGGTTGATTGCTATTTTGTAGTGTTAATAAATTATTAATTTAATTTACTCATTAATTATTATATATTTATATGGACATATCTTATACAACTTTTTTGTTAATAGTACATGTATAGTCAGAGGGTAGTTGAAATTAATTACCAATATTAACGGTAGACTAGACGGAGAATTAATTATTTTTTTCAAGTTCCTTCGTATTTGTTTGTATTTAATATTTTAAATTGTAGCCACTAACGGTACGAGGAAGAATAGTCAAGAATATATTGTCATAAATCACCTTTGTTGGTTTGGAAACAAGTATTTTAAATTTATAAAATAAAAAAAACAAAACTCAAATACAACTTGCCATTAGATATCTAGATAAGTAGGTAGTTAATTGATGATGACCAAGTATTCGCGGCTCATAAATGGTTTCTTATTTGTGCGTTATAAATTTCGGAAGTAACGTGTTATAGGTACTATAAAAATTATGTACTTTGTCACTCATATCGTAAGACGTAAGTCACGTTACTATGAACGTTGTTCCTAAAAGTAGAAAATAACGGTGAGTCGGTGATGGATGAATGGACACGTTGACCGAATACATAGGGACACTCACAATCATTACTGCAATAAATCATTTGACATCACAATAAAGTGAAATTAATTAAATCAGACATATTTTTTAATAGTTTTTGATTTTTGTCAATCTTTTTAGTAATTATATTTTACGCTTTACATATTTTTTTTGTTTTATATGATTCTTAAACGTTATTTTATGTTAACAAAGTATAATTTTCACGAATGCACAAAATTTAATCCATACACTCAGTTTAACATTTAATAAAATAACTGTTTAAACTTTTCTGTGTATTATCTTGACGGCGATTTTATTTTATTTTTTTGGTTGATGCATTTACTTTTGAAACGGTCGTGTAAAAGTTTAGACACATATTTTTATATTAATTTGATTATTGTAGATTCAAAGCGGAACAATGGATGTTTTAATTTTACAATAATGTGTTTTTTCTTGTGTCTTGAGATCCTTTTTTATTTATAGAAAAGGAATGTTTTTAATACATATAAAAGCAGCGTGCAATAAGTAATATGTCTATACATAATATAATTTGAAGACTCGAATGAAAGAGGCATTCAGTAACGCTATTTCAACTTGATTGCATTTTTATATTATTATTTTTTTTTTAAATCAAGGGCCAATTACTCAGGAGGGTAATATATGATATATTTAACATTAGAGTGTTTAAAAATAAAAAAAAAATGATATTATTTGTGAAGACTTTTATGTATATTATTTTATTTTTTACACAATAATATTTTCAAAAAATTTAGACTAATTTTAAGATATTTGCTATTTATAGTACGAATCTATAATTTACATAGTTTCACGGTAAGACGGTATCAACTTAAAAGTTAAAATAAATAATAAATAATTATATAAACATATACTATTATAATATAACTAAATATTAATAGTATAGTAAATGTAATGCTTTAGGCCATATTAATAATAAAATAAATTAGTAATATTAAAAAAGGTAGGTAAGTGAGTACCGCTCTGCTGAACATTAAGTTTAGAGTGGGTGACTATTATGGATGTATTAAATTTTAGTAAATATACACTAAAACAGTAAAAATATATAGAATAAAAACATATTTAAATTTTTCATGCCTTTAAATATTTCAAAAACAGTTTAAGAAAATTGACAATTTTATTATATAATGAAAATTATAATACAAATATTTAGTGAAAATTTCAAATACCTACTGTTATTTTTTTTCGAAATATAAAAAAATATGGTTTGACAAGAGAATTATATTATGGGTGAATATCAAGTTTCGTAAATATTTTAACTTAAAATGTTCTTAAAAAATCAATTTCGCTTTATGTAGAATTTTTATATATGTGTTGAAGATTGAAAAACTTATAAAGAAGATTGTATTCAATTTTTGAATCTAAGATAAAAAAAAAAAAAAAATTTTTTTTTAACTACAAAATAATTTGATAATTTTGTGAAAATTCTAACTTTAAATGCCTATAAAAAATATTATGACTATAGATTATCGATATTTTTAATTTGGAAATTAACAATTTATGAGCAGCTTTACACTTCTTCCTAACAAATTATTTTTAATCGATATTTGTTGAAAGAAAACTAAAAAAAAATAGAAAATGTTAATAAAAATATTAAGTACCTACGGTTATTCGTTCCCGAGTTACATAAAAAAAATCAAAAATGATTTTGTTAAAAATTGGATTTACACAAAAAATTTTGTTTTTCCTTATTTTATTTTTTATTTTTCCTAATAATAAAAAAAATTAAGAGAAATTTATTATTTTAACTTCTCTAAAGTACCAACTTGACCTTGTTTTCTATTCAAAACTACCCTTAAAATTGAAAATCAAAGAATTTTATCAACTACTCATACATGTAAATAAAACACATATCATTGTAAAATCAATAGGTACATTCATCGTTCCACTTAGAATCTAAAATATAGCATAAAATAAACTTAGCAATTATATAATTTGATCGTCTTCGTTCAGTGAATTGTTTTTTGTATGTAATATTTTATTATCGTATTCAAATTTAATACATGTTTTACAACGAAGTTATTAACTATGAGGCACTCTTGATACCTACCTATACAGTATGTAAAAGATCAGTTGTCTATTCCCCCTTTATTTTGATTGAAAATTGATTATTAATTATTTAATCAACTACAAACCTAATATAAGCCTAACTTTACTTGCCTAAATTTTAGAATAAAATATACGAGTATCTACTTTAATTGAAAAATAAAATTTAATTTTAATACCTCAATACTTTTAGTATGCTCTTTGGTTGTTGTATCCATTTATCTAAATAAGGTTAACCATATTCATTTTTGTTATTTTTACGAGGAAACGAGAAAATGCTGTTTTTATCTTTAAAAAGACCTCGTTTTATAATGTTTATTCATATAAGTATATTATGTTAATTAGCAAGTTTCCTTTGTTCGAGTTTAAAACGACTGAGAAGTGAGAGATTAAAATATTAAAATATCATCATAATACAGTATATTGTTATAATAATCGTTAATTCGATGTATATTCTGCGCGGGTAGAATTTTAGTGATAATAAATTATTTTAATAGTGAGACAAATACGTGGTATATTGGTATATTGTGTGTATATATAAATAAAAAAAAAAACACCATGATAATCGATCATCGTTAATTAAATAATATACGTTCAATATGTAGATATATTATTAAATTGTTAAATATGTAAAAAATCTATAAAAATTACATCCTTGCTACTAATTTTTAACTAATAAAAGTAAACTATTTACTACTTTTAAACACCTATATAAGGTATATGTGCGTCATACATAATTTTATTTTTAAATTATAGATATAATTATAATTATTATTTGAATAATATAATTCCTACAATGCACATGTGAACTACGATATAAGTAGACTTATGCAATGTATTTATTACAAAAATGTTGAATTTAATTCATTCAAACCATTATTTATGTTTAGAAATTTATCATTGGATGTTTATTTAACTTGGTAGATGGTAAAGCATAAAAAATATTTACAAAATACGTAACTAAAAACTAAAATAATAGAATTGTATTAAAAATATTATTTTATTGGCGTTAACATATTATTGTTCATACATGTGTAATAACTAAAATATAATACGATGCTTTGTAATGTGTTGTATATTTTTATCACAATAATGATATAATTATTAAACATAGATACTATGTTACTATCACTATTAACCTCTTTTATATAGAATTTTTTTTTTTTGTCTATTAAGCATTTATATTTATTCTATCTATATTAGCTTTACTGGTTAATTTAAAAATACAAGTAAATAAACATTAAAAGAAATAATTGATAGCAGGATATAATTATACAGAGATAAAAATAAATGTTTGTGTTATCTAACAAATGAGTAATGTACATAGTTTTTGTATAAGTGAACAGTCGAAAAAACTCGTTCATCTTGTCAAACGCTTGTACATATATTAATATGTGCTCTCGTCTGATTATTTATTAGATTTAATCGTATGTATCAAACATTTCTTAGTCGATTTTAATCTTGAAATGTATTAATATTTTATTTTTTTATTTTTTTTTTTTAAGGAGTTTAATGTAAATTTTGTAATATTTATGCTAATATTTATCCGTACAAGTTATGCAAATAACTAAAAAATAATATTACTCATTTTATTATTATTTTTTTTAGTTCTATTTTACATCCTATTTGAATAAGTGCCAAAGTAAGATATTATTATTACTAATTAAAAAAATATGTAGTAAATATTTGTATATTTTAACTACCTATAGTTGTATTGTTTATTAATTAGTAATATATATAAAATACTAAATTATTACTATAATTTATTTAACTATTTACATATTGTATTTTGTGATTAATTACTTCAATGTCTATTTTTAAGAACAATTAAATATTTATCAGCTAATCAGTAATCAAACATAAAAATAAATTAATGATACAATTTTGTTTTTGATCGATTTTAACAAATAATTTTTAGTTTCAAAAGTTTTTTCTTATTCTCTATTTCATTCTACCCAAGATTAAACAAAAACTGTGTACTTTAAAATTATGCATATTTTTATATTTATCATTAAAGTTTTGATACAATAAATCTGAAATATAATAAATACTAAAACTAAATGTCTTTATAGGGTTTTTTTAAATTGTATTGCTTTTAATATACTATAGGTTAGGTTGTTTTTAACTCGCTATAACTGATATCGCTGTAATTATTTATAACTGCTTATTATTTTATTTTTAATGTACTTCTCAATATAATTTGATGAATTTTAAATTAATGATATAAACTTATAAATGTATCTAATATATAATAACTAATTGTTTACATTTTAATATAACTTTAATTTTAAATAAAAATATCGATTAAAATGCTTTTTTTCCCTAAGAACGAATCTAAAATTTTTTATTTTATTAATTCATTTATACATTAACTATAATTTATCTAATAACAATCATGTATGTTATTTATTTAGGTTTGCATAGACTTTTTTATGAATAAAAATAACAAAACGTCCACTTTAACTATATTTTTTAAATTTATAAACTATACACATAAAATATTTTTTACATAATAGTATGGTGGATGAATTGATTCAACTTTTTAAAATTGCTTATTTATTGAATTACTTTCATTCTACTTCTTCAAACGTGTTAGTATGAGTATTTAATTTGTTTAAAGACGTACTGTAAAATAAATACGTATTTATCTATTAGGTATATTATTTACCTTTACTTATTTAATTAAATTAGTTATTATATTGATATTGTTTCTATCAACTTGTACTATAACTATAACAGTTAGGTTCACAATTCGAATATAGAAATGTGCAAAATGAACTCACTCATCCTCTAGTTAATTTTTTCCTGGTTAGTATATAATTTTAAAATATTAGGCTGCAAAAATTCAATCTTAGTAGTATTTTTAATAAATTAGGAATTATTATTTTTTCTCATTGAGAAATTATCGTCAAGAGTATAAAGATTTTTTAGACTACATTATTTAAAGTTTAATTTTTTTAATTAATAGGTATAAAGACGACAATTACATAAAAAGTGGAGTTAATTGGGTCAAAGACCCAATAAAATTGTACCGAATCTTTTTAGTTCAAGTTTTCATTAATGAAATACTAAGAAAATTTATTTATTTTTTTTACAATTTCTAAATTAAACTCAAACAAAATATTTCTGTAAACAATATGGTAAAAGAATAATATAACAATATTATAACCTTTATGGCATTACTTAAACATGTAGAACATTTTATCAGATATACTGATGTGTGTTCGACAGTTACTCTGTTTACTTATTATAAATACTAAATAGATATTTAATATAAATAATAATTTGTACTTCGATAATTATAGTCGCGAGAATGTGATGGATGCCTCTTCATGCGTTTTTTTTTTTTTTATTAATATTATAGAGACTTATGTCCCCTCTAAAAAAAACAGTAGGTATTGTAGATATTGTGCTAGTAAAATAATCGATATTTTCAATATTTAAGATATGGATAAAAATTAAAAAGGTACTTATGTTGTTTGTCAAACTTTTTTTTTTTACTATTTGAGATCGTTTTCGAAATACTTACATTAAATAACACTTCAACGCGCGATTTTTCTTCTTTTTTTAAGTAATAAATAATTTGAAACTTTTTTTTTGTTGTTAGACAATTTAAAATATTATTAATGCTTATTTAATTTTAATCGTCTATACATTTTAATAATATTTTATTTTCAATATCAACTACGACGTAGTGTTCTTATGATTACTTTTTCTTTTTTTTTTTTTTTTGTGAAAATAAACTCTGTGTTATTTTATAAGCATTTAGAAAGTACAAAATCATTAAAGTTTAAGATTTAATAACTTTTTTTATGATAATTTAATCGGAAAAATAAAACACTACGTCACAAATAAAATTCCTTTTTAATGTGTGTGAACATTTTAAATCTCTAAAATAATTATAGTTCTGTTAAAATGTTTTCGCATGAATCTCATTTTTAGTCTTAATATTTGCGATGGGTTGAGTCCTCTTGAGTATCAATACCATTGTAAAAACTCCGTAATAATCAAGTAAACTTATTCTTTTATTTTAGATTTAAAAATCTTACTAAATAGAAAAATGAGGACCGTGTGTAATGAATCTGATCGATCAGTGTTTAATGACTACGAAGAATCAATAATATTCGATGAAGATGATCCTGATTTTAGGCCTAGCGGCGATTTAGAATGCAGTTGCGACAAAAGTACTGGTAAGTCAATTTAAAAATTTGAAATTTACATTACCCTTAAAAAGTGATTGATGTTAAACTTTGGATATGAACTTATTATGTCAAATTTATTCAAGTAATGTCAATAATACAGTTGAGCAGGAAAAACACATAAATATTCAACTTTGTAAGTGATTTCTGATAGATTGGATTTAATTTTTAATTAAGGTGTGGGGGTAGGTAAAAAGTAAAAAAATCCAGTACTCATTAAACGAATATTTTTTTAAACTATTTTGGAATATTGGTTTCTCTTATTTCATAGCTGTGCAATAAAAATTTCATGTTTTAAATATTGTTTTATATATGGATTTTGTTTTAAAAAATCTGAATATTGAATAATTTTTTGTTTGTATAGGGTTGTTATTGGTTACAGAAAAAAAAAAATTATAATTTTACTTCTATATTTTTAATTTTGTCAAATCCACTCGAATTAATCTGTCAAAAATATATTTAATTTACATCACCTATTTAGTATTTACTATTTATAAAATGGTCCTATTTATAGTAATATACAGTATTTATAATAAGGTATTATTAACTCAAAGGTTAAAACAAAAGTACAATATGTTTTAGTTATTATAAAAATTTAAATTTAAATACTAATAGATAATTATATAAAAAATGCAAAGTCTTACAATCAATGAAATTGACCTAACATAATAATAAAAGTAGAATAAATTACTTTAATACTAATATGTATCAAAACCATATTATCATGAAATTCACTTAATGATATAGACTAACAGACCGTTTTTGTTCAGAATCGTTTTTCGTATACAATGAAGCATTATTAAATTCAAATTTAACACACCCATTACCGTGACCCACTCAATATATTCTATACAACAGAACGTTACCCATTTCCACATTTTTATTGTTAAAGTAAATTGACTCAACAAATTTTAAGAGAAAAAATATCATTTTAAAATGTTCTCAATTTTCTCTTAAATAATATTATAAAAATTATACTTGGGACTCAAGATAATATTTTTACTTAAGCATTTTATAATAGATCAATTTATTCTGATAGTAAAGATAAAAAAATAAAATAGATGATTCTTATTTTTTCTATACGAATAACTAGCCATTTTACGCACTAGTAAGACAAAGGCAACACTTTTTATTGATTTAAATACAAAAGAAGAACATTCAATTTAAAATTTTAACATTTATTTTTACTATAATATGAATAATGAGGTAGCTTAGTATAATTTATTGTTATTTAACAGTTCTTTGTATAGGTAATGATTATTAACAGAGTAAGAAATTAAGATAACCTTCAAAAGCTTGATAGAGTTAAGATAAAACTGCAACGGAATAGAAACATCCAAACGTACCTATACCTATTTATTTGTAAATGCATATATTTTATATCTGAGGTTAATTACTTTCAACCTATATAAGTAACATAATATTATTTAAAATTAAAAATAAATTTAAATAAGGAAATAGCATAAAATAATATTATTAAACTTTTGTATGAAATATTTATTTACCTATTAGCTAATAATTATTGCTCATCATAATATACTCGTTTAAGAATTATATTTGTACACACTATTTATCTATATTTGATTTTGCCACATGTGATATTAGTGATACTACATATATAATATATATAAATAATATATTATACTGAAGTGCATATAGGTATTATGGATGCATGTATCATGTCTGTAAAAGTTAATTATTGGAGGTTCGAATATGGTTATCTTTATTATTAACTTTTTTTGTATTAATTATACATCTATGTTATATTATATGTAACATTTATCATATGTTAACATTTATAATTGCATTACCATAACCCAAGTATTTAGAACAATTATAAAATTTATATAATAGATATATTGGGTATTACTGTAATAGGTACATGATGCATATCACCTTAATAGCATAGCAGGTAGGTAAGAGATCCGGGATTTAAGTGAGATTTATTGATTTCCACCAAAATAAAAACATGTTTTAATTTTAACCTTGGCATTGAAATCACAATCCAGAATCATAATCATATTAATTTAATTGTCAGCTGTTTAACATAAACTTTGTCTAAAGTTATGTTTATAAAAATGCCTTTAGGGTATTATAATAATTACGTCTCTTTTAAACAGAAACCTGGTTCAAATTTTAAGGAATCTAGACAACACTATTTATTTACGTATTATAAAGCTATGCTAAATTAAATATAAGTTTATTTTTAATTATTTAATATTATAGATTCAATTCTAAACACCAATGATTTGCTAAAGGTAATATTATTATATCAGATACAGCTAACTATTATAATAGTTCGTCTGTTTAGGTGTTTAGTTTAAATTTGAAACACTAAGATTTGTTATTTTTATTTGTAATTGAAATGATTTATATAAATGTGTTGTTATTTATTATTAAATAATACAATTAATATATTTTATACTATTTAAGATAAAATTGTTAACGATTTAATACTTAATACTATAGTTTTTCTAATTATTGATTTAACAAATTCTGCTCAGACAAAACAGAATTTTAAAATATCAGTATCGAAATTAAATTTAGGATTTTAATATTTGATAGCTATTAAGAAATATTTTGTAGGTAAAAACATTTGTAAAAACAAATATCAAAAACTATAAAATTAATTTCGTATTCTAATTATACTTTACAAGTAAAGATATATTAATACTATCTTAGCATATTTTGTCTTCAATTTTTAAATTTATCACATCATAAATTTGATTTTAGTAAAAGTAATTTTGTGTCATTTATTTTAAATTTTAATACATATAGCATTTACCATATATGTAATTTAAAGTGAAGAATGTTATCTATAAGGTATCTCGTAGGCTTGTATTGATATTTAAATTTTAAAGTGTAATTTTTCCACAAAATGAATGTATTAATTAAATACAAGATTACTTAGGTAATATTATTGCTTTAAAATTTGATACTAAGTATTAAGCAAATTTGTTATAAAATTTATACGTAGAACCAACGATACAAATTAATTTACAGATTATTTTTTGAACACAAATTTCTTTTGTTGTATGTAGCTATAAGATAGAAGTACACATGCAGAGTAGTAGCTACTTTGTACTAAAAATACATTAAAATAAACCTTCCTCACTTAAACTTAAGTATATCATTGATTATACAATAGTTAAATGTAAATTGTTAATTAATGTTTATTAATTACTAACTGCATACTATATCATAACGAGTGTAGTATTTGGTAATTACTTCACAATAAAAATGAATATATTTATTGTAGACTTTGTTTCAAATAGAACAAAACATTAGGTTTACAAATACTGCACATGCATCTGTCTCCAAGGTAATCACGATCATGTAATATTTTATTATTATTATTATCGTATATAACTAAAGAAACGAATTTAAATAGTTAAGAAACTATACCTACTAAACCTACTTTATGTATTTAAATAAATATAAATAAATATTACACTGTTATCCTTAGTCATAAGCACTTATTGAAGAAAATTAAGTAGCGTCTATTGGAGGAGGGGTCCTAACAAGCTGAAGCTCATTCCACATATATTCATTTATTTCAACGTGTTTATATAGATAAATGATATTTTATTTATCATTATTATTAATTTATTGCATTCAATTTATGCAATTGTCATTTAAAGTATAAATAACTTCAGAAGGTGGGGATATAATGGTGGCGCAAACATGTCTGATAAAAGAAATGATGCTCAAATTTTAATTCAGAATGACCAACCACTTACACTTTATATGCATTTGTTCAGTCATTCATTAAATTTAAATATTTGTTTATTTAAGTCTAGTAATATTCCGTCAATAAAATATATTTTAGAAATTGTATCTTGTGCTGCTAATTTTTAAGTGCATTTGCAAAAAGAGGTTAAAAAATAAGTCAGTTGTTGAAGTAAGCATAACTAACAATTTTGAACATAGTAAAAAAATTAAATTAAAAAACTATGTGAAACTCGATTTATTGAATATCATAATGCACTGATAACATTTAATAGTATATTGTATGTAATTATGATAAATTAAAATGTTGAATCTGTTATAGTTAATGAAATAACTAAAACTTATAGATTATGTATGTCATTCAAACTTTAGTTAGTTATTTTATACATTCCCGTTGTTTACTCCATTAATGTGTTAAATAATTGTACAAGTATTAATAGTATTATACAATATTTACTTTAAATTACGGTAAACGTAGTTCACAAAAATGTGAAATTAATGCAATATAATAAATTAAATATTCATTAAAAGTTATATATAAGTTATATACCTATATTTTTGTACTAATCTTAAAAATATGTAAAACATGTATATCAAAATTCTATAATTATTCTAAATAGGTAAAATAAATCTTTAGTCATGATTACGTATGCTGGTTAATAATTATTATTATTTCAAGTATAGAGTATTCTCGTTTATATTGTTTCAAGACAATTAATTTAAATCTGAAGTGTTTACATAATATTTTTAAATTCTGTATTGAGTAATAAATACATTAATTTTACAAAAATATTTGGCTTTTTAACTTTGAGGGTAATTTAGAATAGAAAATCGAATCTAGTTGATACTTTATAGAGGTTAACATAAAAATTCTCCTAACTTTTTTTTTATAAAAGACAAAAAACAAAATAAAAAAAATTATATAACTTTTTCAATGCATGTGTAAACATTTTATCAAAAAACCAAATTGATTTTTTTATGAGGATTTTAAATTCAAACATTTATAACTATTCGATATATTCACCCGTAAAATAATTATTTTTATATTTTGTTGTATTTAAAAAAAAATCATATATATATATAACAATAAGTACTTGGAATTTTTACAAAATATTTATATTATCATTTCCAATATAATAACATTTTAAATTTTTTTTAGTCAATCTATTTTCACTATTTTAGAGTATTTACATGTTTTGTATTTATATGTTATTAAATTTTGAGTTATATTAGTTGATATAGTATAATAAAAAATAAAAATA